AAGGAATTTTTTTTTTATAATGATTCTGATACCAAATGCTTGGTGAAAAAACAAAATTCTTCTCAGAAACATTGAGTTTTATCATAGTGTGTGATATGGAGTTTTATCCAGGAGATGTTAGCAGTTTCAAATTCTCATTATAGTGAGATCGATTACGAAAAAGAAAAAATAATGGATTTAATTTGTTAGCGAGCAAGTCTTTATTAAGGAAAATATCGTGTAAATTCACTTCTGTCAAACCAGTAAACTACTAATGACTTTATATTCCTCATATGAAACCAATGAACTATGTTTCTATCAAAATTATAAGAGAGCTAGCTAGCCCAGCCGAACATTTATTAGCCTAGTTATATTATTAAAGTCTTGACTCTCATCATGTAATTGTGTTTTCAACGACAAGATTAAATCACAACTTACATGAATACAAATCTGAATATTTAAAGGGCAAAACAGAAAAGAGACAACAAACACGACATCGAATTGCCTAATTTCAAGTTTTCCTTTAAGAGTGTTTCACAAATATCATTATAGTAATTGTCATGATACCGTCAGCAACTTCAAGTCATTCTTTCCTTGTAAACATGCAGCTTCATTGCAGTAGTAACATGTAAGAAACAATTTAGATACAAACCAAGAGCAAGTTTTGCTATATAGTTAGAGAGAGTAACAAAACAACAATTACATAAACAACATAAATACCATACATGAAAGACAATAAAATGATAGAACGATAGAAGTGAATTACACGATGTTTTTCTTAATAAAAGCTTGCTCGCCAACAAACTAAATCTATTATTTTTATGTTTATGGAATCGATTTCACTATAATTTGAATTTTGTAACTGCTAACATCTCCTGGATGAAATTCCAAATCACACACAGTACGATAAAACTCAAAGCTTATGAGAACAATCCCGTTTTTTTCACAATTTGATACCAAACATTTCGCATCAGTCATTACTAAAAATTTCCTTTTATCGAAGAATTGATCTTGTAATCAATAAAAGTACACCTTTAAGAGCTCTCATCAGAGTAACAAGGCCAAACAAGTGTATCAATAACATCAATCTAATCTTCAAGCCATCTCTCGAAAAAGTAAATTAAAATAGATCATCTAAGCTTAACTCTGTTAACATAAGCTTTTTGGTTTGAGTCTAGAGAAGGCTTTTGTTCTGTTTCTAATACAGAATTAATATGATGATTTTAGTTAGAAAAATGGTTCTGTTCCGTGTCTGAAGATGGCTTTGAAAGCTCGAGTGTTACCGGACAATGATCACTCCCATAGAAACCTGAAACAAATCAAGAAACAGGTTGCTTTTAAACGAGCTAAACAATAATCTTCAGAGCATTTTTTTTTTTTGTTTGTTATGTCTTATTTATGGCACCTGTTAATTCTATCCCATGACCGTGCATCTTAAAAGAAACTATACGGTCTTTGAGTTGTTGGGAGACCAGAAAATAGTCGATCCTCATCCTCTTTCCTCGGTACCTATGGCGAACATATGAAGCTTTAGAAACATAATAACGAGCTTCCGGACTCCATGCCATGTGAAATCCGCATTTGAGAGACCGTGATACTCAATGATGGTCATGCAAAATGAAAAATAATATATGTGGTATCTACGTACTCACTTTCCAATAGGATTCCCAGACCATGAGAAACCACTTTCCGTGTCTTGCTCCTTGTGTAGATACCCTCCCTGTATGCGTCAACAAGCCTTCCTCTGTTACATACAGTTATTCCCAAGAACTTTTTAATTTCGAATCACATACTGTAAGCTCAATTCTCGAAAGTAGTACTAGTAAGACTTCCCAGAGCACAAAACAAATATTAGGCATACTCTAAAAGTAGTTGCACTGAAGCGTCCTCTCTCAGATGGTGTAAATCCAGGCTGTCCGCAGTCCTGCCTATTCAAAACCATTTGTATAGATCTAAAAGTCCATCTCATGGATAAAGATTGTGGTTCGGGCATAATAGAGTCATCTACAATAAGAGGTCACAGCGCAGACGAGAAAACAAGAGAAATCAAAGGCCGATCTAACGAATAACCACGGAAACTTGAACATTGTTGCAAAACCCGCTCTGTTTTTCCATAAGATATTTATGTAATGATAATTAAGGAACAAGCAACAAGGTTCTAAAAAAATACGTAATTTGTCCCTGCATATTTCGAGTTTGCAAGAGACCACCAAACTCGATAGTTTCCAAATGGTGGAGTTGAGAGAGCCCCTGCAGTTAGGATTATCGAGCTTGAAAGATATCCAAACAAGAAGAGAGATTGTTACTCCAAAAGTGACACTTCCAAATCTTTCTATAACCATGCTACTGCACTGTTGGTTCTAAATCGTACACCAAAAATCTGCTTGTAATTGCAAACGCATCAGAAGCTTAATTTGGACATTCTTGTACCGTTGATACTATAATACAAATATCAAGAGATAACAAGCGAGTCAAGGCAGAACCATGGTACCTGTTTTTCCTCTGGCAAAACTTTATTGTCATCGCTCAACTCTTGAGGATTTTTAGGCCTTCTTTTTCCACCACCAGCCGGCATTCTTACAAGAACAAAGTGAACCGCTAAGTTCATAATCTGCCCCGAGAACAAGATGACACTAAAGAAGCAATTAGCAGCCCCATTGTAGTCTGAAATAAATGAAACTGAAATTTGATCTTTCGCAACAAGGACCACTTGAATTTGCATCAACAAGTAGAGAAATAAAACAAATATCATAAACATTGACTTGAAATTTGATCTTTTGCAACAAAGACCACTTTCACTGTCATAAATGACTGAATTTGCATCAACAAGTAGAGAAGTAAATTTGAGCAAACTCAAGAGAGAACCAAAACAAACAAGTATCTCTTTGCATCATAGACTACCTAACCAGAACATCAATGTTCTACTCACAAACAAACAAACCCAGAAGAAAGCCACCTGTACGGCTAGGCGAGGGTCGAATTCGGAATCTATTGGCATTCCACATCAGCCTCTTTTTGGTTCTTCGACTCCGTTTTCGTCCCCGTCGAGATGCGCGGTTTTTTAAATATGGGCCTCCAAAGCCCAAAACATCTCAAGCCTAGATCTCTGTAACTTTCTATAACCGTTTGGGTTTGTTATCTGGTTTACTCAAATACTTGGTTCAATTATCTCTCTCTTTAAAAAAAAACGAAAAACTTTT